GCGCGGGCAGGACGCGCGGCCAGCGAGCTCTCCGCTCGGCTCTGAGCTGCAAGCCCGTGCGCAGCTCCGGGGGGTTCTGACCCAGGGGAGCCGTGTGAGCCGCTGCTGGGGCCCAGCCAGAGTTTTCTTGGCCTTTTTAATGCAAATCTGGAGGTGGGGGGAGCAAGGGAGGAGCCAGTGGAGAGTAATCTGAGGAGGGTTGGTCACTACTTACTTGGTCTTGTTTTCCTTTGAGAATGCCCCTCATGCGCTCCCTGAAAGGAAATTCTGGCTGCCCCCCACAACCTCCTTTAGATGCTGTGGAGCGCTCGTTCTAAGACTGCTTTAAACAACAAACAAGTCGACCAGCCTGGAGCTGCGCCCCAACAATGAGCTTGCGTGGCGCGGGCTGCGGGAGATCAGGAGACCCCGGGGACGCGTTGGGCGGCCTTGCCGCCAGGTCCCGGCGGGGACGCACTCCGCCCCTCGCGGGGCCCCGGCCAGGGTTTGTTTGACCCCTCGCCCGTTTCTGTTTTGGCCCCGGGCTGCGCAGTGGAGCCGCATCCTCGAGCGCCAGCCGGCAGCCTTTGTGCCTTCAGCTTACACCTGGGACCCGCCCGCCCCAGGCCGCCTCGGCGAGCCTGGTTTCCTCTCTAACCTCCAGCCACAGTTACCAACCTGGCCCACCCCGTACGGTGTCCTCACCCTGCCCTTTTAAAAACCAGAATTATCAATAAAGTCGTAGGAGTAAAACTTTGACACGGAAAAGAAAACGTTGGGAGTTGTGATTTTGTTGGGGTGAGTCTAGATTTTGATGTTGTAGAAACGTCTCTAAAGAGCCTCCCCTGAATCACACGTGGCTGCCCACCGCTTCCCGGTTGGGGAGAAGTCCTGCCCTCCTTCCTTAAGTGGACGGGATGACTCAAGCTCGAAGGCTCCCGGCTCTAACACACACAGGGCTCTGGCAGCTCGGGAGAACCCGAGGATGCGCCCCAGGGCGCGATTTGGAAGGGCTGGTGCTGCAGAAAATGCGCCAGGTGGACAGGCTGGGAAGGAAT